TTTCTGATTCATTCAAATTGTGCTATCTGGTGACTTTTCGGTTTCAAGCGAGCGCGTGATTTGATGATGTAATTTATTGGTATTTTCCTATCTCCCCCGCGGATCTAGACCAATGAGAAAGTGAGAAAATTCACAACGGAGGCAAAAATATAAAATGGAAAATTTTGTTTTCATTTAGTTTAAACATTTTCTATATTGCAGTCAAGGCTGGACAACAACAATTATTCTAAAGTGCAACCAGACAAGAAAAGGTGTTGATGATGGAAATTTTTCAATCATAGAAGACACTAGCAATCCGGTAATAATAATCTGCAGACAGCTTGAACTTTCAAGAAGAAAGGAACAGAAGTATAGAGATTTTTATGTAGCCACACAGTAACCCCCAAGAAATTGAGGAATTAAATTCAGGGGCGGATACAGGGGGGTGGATTGGGCGAATTTCCACCCACCTTTTTAAAGTAAAAGTGAATATTTTTAGGAAAATAGAAGAATATGATTGCATCTAATTACAAAATATGTCAAGAGTCAAAATTTAGCTGCATTCACAAGTATGCAGTACACTGTATGTTATAATTTAATCATTTTTTACCTTTGTACTGTAAAAAGAAGGCTCAAAATAACTTTTTAAAAATTATCCACCCCCCTTTTTAAAATCCCGTATCCGCCCCTGAGATTCCATTTTGCTCTTTTTTCTATTTGGTCATTCTGGTCCCGCTAGACGCTCTCCCAATAGAAATGAAATGACATTAAATCAGTTTAAAAATTTAATTATCACGCTTTTTTCTGTCAGGTTTTCCAACTCGAACACAAATGTTGCTGTCCTGATGCCTGCTCTGATGGTGACCCTACTGCTACTCCAGCGCATTCTACTGGTGCTACTCCAGCGCATTTTCGGCATACTCTTTCTCAAGCGTCTGCTTCAAACAAAAAGGGTATGTGAAATATATAAAGCAAGGGAGGGAATCAATCGTTTTGGATGAGTCTATGGATAGGAGTTAAATGGATTCACTAACGATGAACCATTTAAGAACCAATAACGCTCATATTTCTTTCCTTGCCTACAGTCAATTTAGGAATCTTAGTAAAAACCTCATTCTAAAAGAAAGGCAAAAGTCCAAGACGTCGAGGAAACGAAGTAAAATAGGCGTGTATGTTGTTATTCAATAGATTGTAGCCCTAGGTATGGATGTTGTCCCCCTTAGTTGTACCCTTGATTGATATAATTCTGAACCGTTTGATACAGATAAGTAAATAATCATAGCATGTTGGTCGCGGTTACCCATGACGTCTTATAACAACAACAACAACAACAACAATATTACTAATACTAATGCTAATGCTAATGCTAATGCTAATGCCAATGCTAATGCCAATGCCAATGCCAATGCCAATGCCAATGCC